AGACTGCAGAGAGGAAGAAATGGAGAAAAGCGATGACTTCTTAGAGTCAACTCCGGCGACAGCGTTCCGGTTGAAATGGGACGTGTTTTTGAGCTTCCGAGGAGAAGACACCAGAGATGACTTCACCGATCATCTATACAACGCCCTATTCTCCAATGAGATCCGGGTCTTTCGAGACAACGATGGAATGGATCGGGGCGATGAGATAGGACCGAGTTTGATCGAAGCGATCGAGGACTCGGCGGCGGCTGTTGCTGTTATATCGCCGAATTATGCATCCTCATGGTGGTGCCTGGAGGAGCTGGCCAGACTCTACGAGTCGGGGAAACTTGTGCTCCCCGTGTTCTTCGATGTTGACCCGTCGGACGTGAGAAGACAGAGAGGGCCATTTAAGGAAGGTATTGACAGTTTGGAGGTAAAGTGTGGAGTGGAGAAAGTGAAGAGATGGAGGAATGCAATGGCAAGAGTTGGAGGAATTTCTGGTTGGGTTTACGAGAACATCAGGTTAATTTACTCGATCTCCGTCTCTCTTTCTAACATTTATATGAAAACCCTAAATTATCATGATTCTTGAGTAAGATGACAATAAACAATATTAACCAAGTCTTAATTTGTTATATGAGTATCTGATTTACACTAAAAATGAGCACACGAATTTCAAGATTTGTTTGCTCAAACAGCCACTGTTTTGCGGAGACAAATAAAGATGAAAAATATATAGTTATATGTAAGGATTTGGATTGAACTAACCCCAAATCTTAATATATTAGTATTCAATATTCATATGCAAGCCCTTCCCATCGGTCGAGTCACCTCGAATAGCTCTCTATTCTTTCTCTTTCGTCCTTGTTGAATACGGTGTACAGATCTTGAAGATAAGGCTTTGAACTACTTCCACGAAAAATAATTAGAATTTCATGTCATTTAGGTAATTATCTATGTGGAAGTGAAAGCATATGTGGGTGCTCCTTTTCAATTACAAATTAATGAATTTTTCTTAAGAGTTTTTAGTTGTTACTTATGCATTAAGCATATCATAATTATAATAAATATGTTTAAATTAACTAATTAAAGATACCAAAAGATCTCAACAACTTTTATACTAATGAGAATTATTGGCCTGTTTGTTTCTGATTCTCAAATCAATTCTCATTTTCACCCACACATTCTTCAATAAAATAATATTTTCCATCACATCAATACTTTTTTCTTCTTTTTCAACCACACATTTCCCATCATATCACTATTCAAAATCAATTCTTCCCCCAA